GGTGGGTGTGGGTGTATGTGTGTGTGTGTGTATGTGTGTGTGTGTGTGTGTATGTGTGTGTGTGTGTGTGTGTGTGTGTGTGATGCATACTCGGATTGATCCGAGTGATGCAATGGAGCCAAAGGACCAGCAAAGTGATGATAAGGACTCAGACTCACAATGCATCAACAAGAAAGCAATGTGAGAACACGACCACGAAATAAGGCAACGTAGCACAGCGGAAGACTCAAAATCACGACGTAACTCGCTGGACTGAGACCTGACTCATCGCATCATCAAACACAGACCTGTGAGAGAAGAGGAGGGACCGCGAACAGGAAGAAAGATCCCTCCTTGCATACACACATGGGGGGTGTACCACAGACGAAGGGGAGGAAGGAGGAGCAAGATAAAGATGGACGTGAGGGAGTAGACCAGAGTCACAACAACGCTGTCCAAAAATAGTCTCCCTGTCACGTGCCCAAGCAATGTCTGCTCCTGCAATGTCAAATCGGATTCTGGGCACCATAACCCGAGATAGCCTCTGCCGGTAACCTTTCTCTCTCTCTCTCTGAAAGAATAATAAGAAGAGGAGGAAGAAGAAGAAGTCGAAGAGGAGGAGGAAGGAGAAAAAGAAGAAGAAGAAGAATATCAATCTCCTCTCTCTCTCCCTCTCACCTAATGAAGTGCTGCAGCCACGAACTAACCGACGAAGGTGCTGCCTCTCTGATGCAGGTCGCTGGCGAAGAACCCAGCTATGGGGCCCAGGTGAGTACTCTACGCCCTGCGGCTATGGCGCTACTCTCCACTCTCCTCCTCTCCACCCCTACGCCTCTACCTCTACCTAGCGCAGCGCCTGGAACACTGGTGCTGCTCCTGGAAGGCTTGCGTTGCTCCAGTACCGTGATGCCCACTGAATGGGAACCACTGAATGCCCATGACTGGGCTGGCCCAGCTAGATATAGCGTTGGGCCTGGCGCAGTCCCTCACGATCTGGAGCCAGGGATCTACCATCCGATCGGCGATCCTGGGTGCAGGCATGAAGTCCTGGTCCTATGGACAGGACAAACTATTGGGCGGCCTGGGTCCCTACTGGTCGTCCAGACCAAGCTGCTGATGCAGCAGGTCCCACAACAGAACCTGGCCTCCCTCCGCCTCCGATGTGGACCAGTGTGACTGTTCGGACTGAGGCACAATCCGAAATGACACAACTGGGACAGACAACAGAGGACCAGACAAAGACTCAACAAAAATAAATAAATAAATAAATGCTGAATCAAAAAAAGAACACACGCGTGGACCAAAGTGTGATTCAGCCTGAAAATGGCCGCGGGCCTCCACGTCACGTGGCCTGAGGCCCCCCAGCAACCGTCGGGCCCCAAAACATGGCCCGTGTGCAGGCCTCAGCATGCTACTCTCTCTCTCTCTCTCTCTCTCTCTCTCTCTCTCTCTCTCTCTCTCTCTCTCTCTCTCTCTCTCTCTNCTCTCTCTCTCTCTCTCTCTCTCTCTCTCTCTCTCTTGCGCCTGCGCGCCACACAATGCGGCTCTACACTACGTTCTTTTTATCGCCCTGTGCAATGGCAGCCAAAACTTTTAGGCTGTGCAGCTTGTTAGATCGTACTATATGGTTTTGCTCAGCAGCTGGAAGTCGAAGGATTTGGTTTTACAGGGTCTCAGAATTAGCTGGGTAGGACTGGGTACTTCAGTTAGTCTCCCGCTGCCCATCAGCGGTCCTGATTCCCTATGGACACCTTTTTCCTTTGATGACATTGTTTTCCTTATGCTTGCAGGGGATAAGTAACCGGACAGGTGCCATCCCAGAATAAAAAGGGGGCTGTACCTTTGTTGAAAAAAAAAACAAAAAAAAAAAAACAAAAACGTTTTGGGTCGTGCAACCTGTGTAGGTTGAGATTTTCCCGCACCTCTCAAGCTGTCCATGTTCCCCAGTACCATTTGGGTCCAGCAGGCCGCGTCTTTTGCTTTCAAAGAGTAGTGAGGGATGCATTTTATGGGCATAAATATTAAATATCTCTCCCCTCCCAACCTCGTGGCTGAATGACACAAACATGTAGCTGTTGATAAACAGATCAGGAGTTCAAATCCTGTACGACGTGTACGTACAATGTCTTCTTGCCATACGACGCATACGTAGAAAAAAAAAGTTAAAAAGCATACCTCCTCAAGATAGTCTGCAAAGGTTTTTGCTTCCTTCTTCTTGGCACCGGCTTTCTCGAGTGCCCTTGCTTGCCTTGTTCGTCTCTTTGGCTTAGCCCTCTTCTGCTTGAACACTGTCGTCAATCATATTCACAGCAGTTCATTTAAAAAAGTGGGCACGTGGTCAGCACTTGAGTCGATTTGAAAAAGTGGGCACGTGGCCAGGACCTGCCAACTTTGCGATTACACTACAGAATTTGTGAGGTTTAATGAGCAACAAACATGGGGTTTGGTGGGTTGAGCAGGCACATTGTGCCCCAATTTTTAGGAACGACGAAGCCAGGATGCAACACAGATTTGCGCTTTTCTTGGAGGGAAGGACAGGCACAGAGAGCGACTCGCATTGCCCATCGGCTGGAATCTGTTCCAAAGAGTCGAGAAGAAAGAAATAGTGGGTTTGTGGTCACCCCTCCAGGTGGCAGGCAGGTGACATGCAATGGGCGGAGAAATGGATTCGATGTCTCAAGCGTCAACCGAGTTACAGAAGTCAAAGAGTCAAAGAGTTAAAGATGTTTGAAAAGTCAACCACGGCCACAGATCACACGCGATCCAAAGGCTCAGTGCAATTTCTAGTAGTCCATCCTGAGGCCTGCTGGGTCCAGGCACACTCCGGCCGCAACTAAATCTTAGCCATTCCGATCGAGAAATCTCAGCCCGCCGAGGTGGCAAGCTCAGACAGGCCAGACTCAGTCACCCACTTCAAGATCTGGGGCCTTGACCCAGCTCATCCACTCGTTCTGCCGTGAGCTATCTTGAGGCGGGAGCGCTGCTCAAGCGCCAGCACTGGAAGAAGGCAGACGGCGAGAGAGCAAGAGTCTGCCATAGCTAGAATGAGGGAGTGTTGTGGTCATAGCCAGTTTTAAAAGGTGTTAATGGACCATAGACATGAGAGAGAGAAGCGGGGAGATTGTGGAGGTAGAGGCCAAGGCTTGGGCGAAGAGGAAAACTCCCCTGGAGAGTGCTTACCCAGAGTGTCCAGCCATAGCTGCTGCAGAGAAGACAAGTGGCTGCATGTACCTCACACTCCTCATCCAAGACTCAGAGATGGTGCTGAAGACTAGAGATTGCCTGGCACCATACAGAGAGAGGAAGGTCTGGGGTGTAGACTGGAAGGTGGAGGTAACCATTGAAGAAGGATTGGCAAGAAGAAGGAAGAGGAGGCTTACCGCATGGCTGGCGGTCAAAGCTACCTTGAGAAGAAGACTCCAAAAAGGAAGAGGGAGACCTGCATTCATTTTCCACCACATCCAAGTCGTTCTGTTGGCACTTGTGCAGGCAGAGAGAGAGAGAGAGAGAGAGAGAGAGAGAGAGAGAGAGAGAGAGAGAGAGAGAGAGAGAGAGAGAGAGAGAGAGAGGCACTGGCATAGTGAGGTCTGGGAAAGAGAGGGGAGGTCACTATAGCTTCAGGGGGGTTGAATGTGGTCGTGATGAAAGGAGGAGACTTCATGCTGACACAGAAGATTGAGATTGTCCTATCGGGGTCCAGCTGCCTGGTGCTAGCCTGGGACAGGCCAGTGCTTTGGAGAGATTCACTTGGCGAGTGACAACGTGTCCTGAGACAACACAGGTGTTAACCCGAATCGAACACCCGGTCATTCTATCTGTATTTGGGCCAACTTGCAGTTCAGATGCATTGATAATGACCAGGCATTCTATATATTTCGGTGAAGATGGTACTACTAGGCAGTAGCATAGGTGTGTGCGCATAATGACCTGAGCTGAGAACTACTACTACTCTCTTGTTGATTGCTGGGGAGGTCATTCTATCTGTATCTGGGCCAACTTGCAGTTCACATGAAGTGATAATGACCGGGCTTTCTTCATCAAGACACTTAACAGTCTTGTGGGTGTTCTTGCTTTGGTGTGATCGTGGCCCACCGGTGTTAAGCCTCCTTCTTGCATCGGCGTGATCTTGACCCACCGGTGAGATCTGTCGATATAGAGAGACCCCTGCAAGCAACCAGCCTGTGATAATGACCACCGGGCTTTGGACCAATTCCGCTTTCGGTCTCGTCAACTCATGGATGCTGCTCTATGAGCTTTTGTCTTGGTCAAAGTCTTCTTTGACTTCTCACAGGCTGGTTGATTGCAGGGGTCTCTCTCTATATTTGGTAACTAACCTGATCGATCGTCCAGGTTGTTTTGCTGAATCTGCTGGGTTGAGTCAAAGGGGTTGAAGTGGTTGACGCTGTCTCACATGCTGGCCAACGGGTGCCAGTAGGTGTCCAGGTGCAGCTCCCCAGCGATAGATGGAGCCTCGGCAACAAGCGGAACAAACCCACGGACGTGGGGGGTTTCCCCACAGCTGCAGGCTGCTCAGAACAACCTGATTTTCGAATTGATAAGTGATAATGAATACAGGGCTTCAGCGTTGCGCACGACACTCAAGCATCAGAGATGAAGTATCGTGAAGGACGCTTCCTTCACGATACTTCCTTTCACGAAAAAGGGATGAAACTTATGTACATCTTCTCCAGACATGTTTTGGACTCTGTGTCGTGTCTTCTTATGTGTTTGGAACATCCCCTGACAACCCTTGTCCCCTTCTGTCGGGCATTCCACATGACCTTGGGCCCATCCAGTACTCACGAATGGAAAAGAACTGCGAGTGCATCTTCCCATAGAAGGTGGCAAGATACATCCATTACTAACTTACTATCGAAAGTAATGGATGATAGACGGATGTATCTTTCCACCTTCTGTGGGAAGATGCACTCGCAGTTCTTTCAGGTCGTGAGTAGTGCGGCAATGGCCGTTGAGGGCCTCTTGGTGTCCCCCTCCCCCACTGAACATCACCTCGTGCCTCTCCACAGGTGAAGCAAAGACAAAACTGAAAATGCAGAAAAAAAAGGGCCAAAGACAAAGATAAAGGCGATCAGAGCATACTCACACTGGGATTTTCCTAAATTGCGGCCAAACCTGGATGCACCTGACTTCAATCACAACCAGAGCTCAGTATGAAAAGGTCCAAGGTGAGGTATCTGACTATAATTACGGCCAAACCTGGATGCATCTGACTGCAATCACGACCAGAGCTCAGTACAAAAAGTCCTAGTGTGAGGTATCTGACTTCAATTACGGCCAAACCTGGATGCATCTGACTGCAATCACGACCAGAGCTCAGTACAAAAAGTCATAGTGTGCGGTATCAGACTTCAATTACGGCCAAACCTGGATGCATCTGACCGCAATCCCGGCCAGAGCTCAGAAGAAAAAGTCCTAGTGTGAGTCTGTCCTCAGTGGCACAAAGAGGAAGGTGAACATGAAGAAGCCAAGGTGAAGAATGCAAAGACGACAGACAACAATGGATGTGGCATCTGCCCTCTGTTAAACAACAATGGATGTGAAATCAGACTCGCTTTCTTCTTCATACAACATGCATGCAAACAGATGGCGAAGCACACTGGCGCTGGCGCCCACACAACTCAGATACAAACTCGCTTCAGAATGGCTATGGCGATTGCACGCCTTCACTTCACTTATCCACTCAGAGTTTACATCCACTGTTTACACACACTCAACTCTGGATCTCCCTGGATACCCCACACGCACTCACGTTGTACTCCACTCACACTCACTTACACACCGAACCACTATCTCTAACCTATGGCGGCTATGACCGCTCGCTACTACTAACACTGGTCGCTATCTCCTTCCTTCAGCCCACGTCGACTTCGGGCATCTGCAGACCACCTCACACAAGTCGCCTGGGCAGCACTTCCACATGGCTCACGCAGAAATGAATGAATGGCTGGATGCTGCCTCTTGATTTATACTTCTGTTGGTCGCTGCTCTGCCCCCTTTTCCACCGGGCCCTTGGTGCACACAGTCCCACATGGTACTTGCTGACTGGACTAAGTGAGACTGGGACTGGGTACCGCTGACTAAGCAAGGTTGGACTCACCACTTGCCCACTTGCCTCTGGTCTGCTGTGAACAACGTTCGAAAGGCCACTTCCGGACCTTCCGGAAGCCTGTGGACTTGGCCTTTCAGAACTGTAGCAGCTACGACCTTGACCTTTCAGGACTGTAGCAGCTAAGACCTTGACCTTTCAGACTTGCCACAGCTACGGCCTCTACACAACTATGACCCCTACTCGACAGACCTACGGTTCAAGACCCGACAGCTACATCGACCTATGACAGACAACAACTGACTCCTAAAACGCAGGTCACGGGTTCAAACACACAGGGGTACTGTACACGGGTGAGGTCTAAGGATCGAGCCCTAGGATCTGCATCTGCTACTGCAAAGGTGAAAACCGTTTCACTCCCGCCGGCCTAAATTCGAGGTCCTCTGAGAATACTTCAGTCCAAGGCCGGACCTTTCCCTTTCTCTTATCTCTCTCATAGGCTCGAACTATATCGGGAGCGGTCTCTAGACGCTCTGTTCGTGTAAACCAGCGGTCGTCTTCTAATTCTTGAAAAGAGAATCTGACTTTATACTGTTTCTATGGACGACCTCTACCTCCTGTTCTGAACACATCCTCATCAACTATACGGTCAATGTCGTACCTTGCATCCATGTCTGGAGGAATCATTGACCTTCTCGACGGAAACTGCTGACTCGTCGTGCAAGGTAACAACTTTGATGCGTGAAAAACTGGATATGTATGGAGGTGTGCTGGAATCTCAATTGTGTAGGACGATCCATCCTCTCCGCCCTTGACTTCTAGGACTGGCCACGGTCCTCTATATGCAGGCAATAGCTTCTGCGAGATGTTCTCCTCAGGAGCAAACTCTTTGGACTTGACCCAGACTAAGTCGCCTACTTGAAACTGTGATGGGCGACGGTGTTTGTACCGGGCGGTAGCCTCTGAATCTGGTCCCGGTTGAGTCCTTCAAACCGTCTGCGCAGTCTAAAGGACTTATGCAACTCATTGGGAGTGCGACAGGTGGCTAAGTGCACACTGTTGTTGTATGCGCTGGTTACCTTTGGGAGCATTTCATCCCAGTTGATCTGATCAGGCCTAATATACATTCTAAGAACTTGCTGCAGGATTTTGTTCATCTGTTCAGTCTGTCCGTTAGTCTCTGGATGACGGCCAGATGACATCAACAACTTAGAGCCATAA